GATGTAAAAAAAATTATATTAAATTTTTTTTTTGATAGGATCACCAACTTTGTTCACACCGATATCTCTTCCATCTAATAAAAGTGGATAATTAGAACATATTATCAAAAAATAAAATTTATATAAAATTAATCTTTATAGTCTTATAAAATAAATTAAAATATTTACCAGAAAGTGAATAATTGTTGTGAAAATTAATCTAAAATTGTAATTATACAAAATTAAATCTATGCATTGGAATTTTTTCATCGTCCCCAATTGCACAAATAATAATATTTTGGAAAATTGAATCATTATTTTATTGTCACTGACAATGCGTGCGATATTGCTTCGTATTTATAACGACTGAAAAGTATCTAATGGAGTAAATTTTTTTCTTCAATCAATTTTGAAAAAAATTGTAGAACAAAGTTGACTTTAATTAAGGCATGAACGTAATCACCCTGTAATTAAAAATAAAAAAATTAAGTTAATTTTATGACTTAATTAAGCTCCTAAATCACAAAAAATTTGTTTTAATCATAAAATTAATTGATAAAAACTAAAAAGTTCATTAAAAGATTAAATAATGTAAACGATTTATAAAGATATAATACCTCCTCATCCAATAGGATCATCAGGCAAGAAACTCGTACTTTGATATTCCAAAGATTTTTGCTCGAATATAATTCTCTGATCTGTAAAAACAAAATTCAGTAAACAAAATATAAACATATAATCATTAAGTATCCCAAATAAACACAATTTAAGAAATAATCACAAATATACATTTAAACATGGGTTTTAAAAATTAGGCTAAGAATTACCCAAACATTGATGACCTAATAAAACTGACACAAAATTAATGACACAAAATTTGCTTGGTTTGGTTTTGTATTGATACGAAATTTTGTTGGTGTCGTATGATGTGTCAATTATAATGGTAGGTATCACAAATTTTAATTTAATTATAATTAAGGAATAATTTTTATTTCTTATCATAAACACTATCAAAATTTATCTTATAATAGTAGGTATATAAATCCTATATCTAAAGATGATTATTTAAAAAAATAATTTTTAGTTTTTTAAATAAATTAAATCCTAATAAATCAATATTCGTTGTTTTTACTTATGTGGCAAAATTCTTAAATCTCATTCGTCACTTTTGTTTAGGTGGCAAACGAATTTTTTAATTCCAAAATAAAATAAAAATCTAATTTTTAATTGGTCGAAAATATACATTTACTTATGTGGCGCGCCGAATGCTCTAGAAAAATGTCTACTTTATTTATATATATATTAGATTTTAGTTTTATTTTATAATATTTTACATTACTGCTATAGCTAACTGGACAAGGTGTTACCATGCATGCGCCGTTACACACATTTATTTTGAAGTAAATGTAAGATTATGTTAATAATAGTAAGCTTTGGCAATCTTTTCTTCAAAAAATTAAAATAAAAAATAAAGTAATATATGTGATTATATATTTTGTTTTAAGTTGTTTAAAGCCGTATAATTTAATGATATACAAATAGTTTTTTTATTAAGAGAATATTTAATTATTACGAATTTGAGGAGTTTATACGTTAAAGGTCATTTTGTAAATTCGTTTGTATAAAAAATTAAAGCAGAGTAAAAATAGACCTCAAAAGCATAAGGATTAATGAAGGTGATTGAGGTTAATTATTAATAAGAGGAGATGAGGAAATTGAGATATATATCAATTATTTATATAAAAAAAGGATCTTGCTAACAAGCATGTCGGGGCATTAGATAAAGGATTAATATATTATTAAAATAGTATTGAGTTCGGAATGCATGACAAAATCATGCGTCGATCGATGTAATTAATGTATTACTTAAATTTGGAAGTGATGGAGCACGGAGTGGTCAGTAAGATGTTGAATGCTTTGGCAATGCAACCTTCTATTTATGATGATATTAGGGAAAACCAGTTGGGAGACTCGATGTTAAAGGCAATAAAAGAGAAGATTGAGGAAGGGAAGGTTTTGGGCGTTACTATTGCAGATGAAGGAAGTATTGAATTCAAAGGGAGATGGTGTATTCCACAACAACGTGGGGACATCTAACAAAGACTGATGGAGGAGGCCCATAATTCTCCTTATTCAATGCATCATGGAGGGGATAAGTTGTATAAGGATATGAAAAAGGTCTTTTGATGACCAAACATGAAGAGAGAAGTAGCAAAGTTTGTGGCAAAATGCTTAACTTGTCAGAGGGTGAAGATAAAGCATCGAAGGCCACAAGGAATGGTTCAATCTTTGGATGTACCAAAGTGGAAGTGGGATTCGATCTCTATGGATTTCGTGGGGGCATTACCAAGGACCGGGGCAGGGAATGACACTATTTGCATTGGGTCATTGTGGATCGATTGACTAAGTCTATGGATCAGTTGGGAAGGGCATATGTGAAGTTATGGTGAAGTACCATGGAGTGCCTACACATATAATTTCATATCGTGATTCGAGGTTCCTGTCTAACTTTTGGCAGAGTTTACAAAAGGCTATGGGAACTAAGTTATTGGTGAGTACAACTTTCCACCCTACAACTGATGGCCTGACTAAAAGGACCATACAAACCTCGGAGGACATGTTGAGAGCATGTGTATTGGAGTATCAAGGTTCATGGGAAGATCACTTAGACTTGATTGAGTTTTCATATAATAATAGCCATCATGCAAGCATTTGAATGCCCCCATTTGAAGCCCTATATGGAAGAAAATGTAGAGGCCCAGTTTGTTGGAGAGACATAAGTGAGATCGTTGTACTTGGGCCTGAAATGATCGAGGAAACTGTTAAGCAAGTGAAGTTGATCCAGGAGAAAATCAAAGCAGCCTAAGATAGACAGAAAAGTTACGCTGATGAGAAGCGTAGAGATGTAGAGCTCCAAGTTGGAGAGAAGGTGTTGCTGAAAATATCCCGTATGAAGGGGGTAATGAGATTTGGCAAGAGGGGGAAATTGAGCCCAAAATACATTGGGCCATATGAGATTCTTCAGAAAGTTGGGAAAGTAGTATATAAGTTGGACTTACCCAACGAGTTGGAAGGGGTACACAATGTTTTTCATGTGAGTCAGATTTGCAAGTATGTTCCTAATGTTGCACATGTGCTAGAACCAGAGACTATTGAGCTAGATGAGAGTTTGACCTATGAAGAAAGACCGGTGAGAATTTTAGATAGTAAAGTGAGAAGCACCCGAATGAAACAAGGATATGAAGATAGTCAAGAATTTATGGTCGAACCATAAGGTTGAGGTAGCAACTTGGGAGGCTGAGGCAGAATTGCGTACAAAGTACCCTAACCTTTTCATGGTGAGTGATTAAGTGACAGGGGTGTAACTTCCGTTTTAAGCGGGGTAGAATGTGATAGAGTTTTGTGCTTTTCTTTTAATGTCTTTAAATGAGTCTTTTAATTTGAGTCTTTAAATTGTGCATGAACTTACTATATTTTAACCAATTCAAGATAATTTGGAGTATTAATTCGAGTAATTAAATAATTTTAAGTTTCGGGACGAAACATCTTGTAAGGGGGTAGATTGTAATACCCCTAATTTTTGAAAATACTTTCTTAATTATATTAGTAATTTCTTTAATTATTTGAATTTGGAGCCAAAATAAATTTAAATTTTGGCGCCAAAATTATTCGAACAATTAACTATTTTCGTATATGATCTTGGTCGGTCCATATTTTACTAATTTTATTAATTAAATTATGTTGTACATCGTTTTGAACTTAACTATATTATTTTCCGAATTTTATCTTTATTAATAATACTTAACAACCTTAGCTTAGTTATTATCTTATGATTTACAACTAATTTCGATTTTGGATATTATATTTTATAGTTGTATTTTGATGATAAACTTGATTTAATTATCAAATTTAATTATTTTCTTAATTAATTAATGGTTTTCGTTGGAATTAAAAAAAAATCAGTTTTTTTTTTTAACTTGAAGCTGCCAAAACATGGTTTTAATTAAGAATTGATTTATGATTATATTTTTGTTAATAAACATATTTTCTTAACCTCTAGCCTTTTGTTATCCAAATTTTGCTTCCTATCTTCATTCTTCCAACCATATGTATATCTATCTAAATTTCTTCTCATCTTTTAACTCAACTACTAACCTAGACTCAATTTGATACAAGTACTTTAACAAACCCCAAAACTTATCATATTTTCTAGTAATCATGTCATACCTTTAACTCTATTTTTTTCACCCTCTAAACACTATAAATAGACCCTCAATCATTTACAAATTCCTCACACCAAAAATCAGAAAACCCTCTTCTCTACTCTCTATCTCACGCCCTCTTCTTCCTCTATTTCCCTTCTTGTTTGCTCAAAGAAACACCGCACCGCAACTGCACCACCTTTGCTGCCACCTTACTGCTGTCCTTACGCCGGCCACCTGCCGCTGCCAGCCTGCCCTGACGCCAACCGCTACTTCCAGCAACATGCAACACGCACCTTTCCCTCCTTATGCCTTGCCGCAATATACATACAACTTTTCTAATACCAATTTATGATAATACTATTATGATACTAAGATTATTATTTTGATACTAAAACGACTTGTTAAAAAAAAAAAAAAACAAGACTTGATTTTATAAAGGTTAATGTTTAGGTAGTCCATGAAGTATGTAATGATATCAAAAATCAAACAAAGTCACTAAAAAAACAAAACAAAGGTTTCACGAGGACTGTGCACTATTCATATGGTTTTACGAGTATTAAGTTACTCTAACTCCCTCCCTAATTTATTTAGACATATAACCAATTTAATGAAATGAAGAAAACACGATGCAAAATACAAATGCAAATCTTTGCCAAACTTAAGTAATTATGCTATAATTTTTTTTTTAATGGAAAATTAGCCATCAAGATTTATAGTGTGAACTCTATAAAATACAATGGCATACAACATTGTTTAACTAAATCACTAGGTGACAATTTTAATTAGTATATATAGTAAATATAAAAGAAAAAGAAGTAACAAGCAAATTAATAATAATAACTAAAAGAAAGAACACTTGTTTGATACTTTTGTTTTTCAAGTAGAGACCAAAACAAAACAAACTAGCAAGGCATCAAGTTCAAACAATTTCTCCACCTAGTTTTCAAAAGCGAATGCAGTCAACAAAATGAGGCAATCAACCTTAGTAACCTACAATACAATGTTTCCTTGGATAATTTACAGCAAGTGCAATCGGTAAAATGATGCATTCTTGAAAAAGTTAAATTCCATTCACCCAAAATAGCACAAGCACCTAACGCTTGCCAAGTTCGGGTAAAGCATAAACAATAGTTCCAGCACTTCCAGCTAAAGACCTGAAAGAGAAGCAAATCGTTGTATGAAGTGAAAGATCCTTTTTATCAACAAATACAATACTGAGAAAGGTAGAAAAAATGTGCAAACATGTCAATGGCATAAATGATATTTTCCCAATTAGTACCTAGTACGAATACAACACAAATGCTCTAGAACAGAACTTAAGTTCCTGTAAATAAGTATGTGGAATCATAAGAACAACTATATATATACTCTATACAATCTTCAACCAAAACCAAGACTAAAACTTTTATGTTAATTAAAAAAATAAAAATAAAAAAAAAATAAAAATTACCAACAAAATTTGAACAAAAGGCAAGGTATCTAACAATTATTTATAGTCAGCGGAGGGATTTATAAGAGAAAACAGCACAGAAATTTAATACAGTAGGACTTGTAACTGAACTAATAATCATTGATGGAGATGACAAAACGAGCAGGGACGACATTCAAAATTAAAAATAATCCTCCAAATGCCTCGCCAACAATAAGACATATAGAAGTTGTAGAGGTAGAGAGAACGATATTGTTTTAGTAGTCTCATACATAACTTACAGGTCCTAACAAATTATTATGCCAAAATTTACAATATATATTTAAATATAAAAACTGACCTCTATTTTATGTAATTTAATTTTAGTTTCAGAATAATTAAAGGGCCAACCTACTAGAGTTGATATAAATCCCAAAAATAACTACCAACAGAATGAAAATCTTTGTGAAGCATATGCTATATCAAAAATTAAAAATAGATTACTTATGAGAAACAACTAAAACAGGGAAAAAATTGAAGAGTATTAGAGATGATTGTTGTAATAACAAAAGAATAAAAGAAGGTTTGCACATAACACTTTTATGGTATCTAGATGTTGTCAAAGAAAATGCGTGATAATTTGAACACTGACAAAAAAGAAGAGTATTAGAGATCATTGTGACATTTTAAAGCTCTATGTTGCTGCCTTACAAGTAGTATGACTTCAGCTAAAACATCTGAATGTCAAGAGCAAAAGAATTTGAAAAGCTATATGAAACTCATACATAGACTGAAGATAGTTGTGCATAAGTAATAGTGATTGCATGTCTTTAATTCTATGCACAAGAAATCATCATTTTATGCAAACAATCTCAACTACCTCATCAATTTTTCTTGCCTTATTCTAAGTACGGTTTTTTTATCTTTCGACGTCATCACCCTTGTCTTTTTATTACTCAATGGTCTTTAGTGACTTTATTATAAATTGATCAGTAATGCTGTTCAAAAAGGCAAATATATATATATGGTGTTCTCCAAAAGTCCATTGAAAACTTCATCAATTGAAAGCTTCATCATAGATTTGACAGTAATAAAATTGACTTAAAACTTTACAGATTTACAAAGTTTAACTTATTTTGTATGAAGATTAAATAAAATAAATAGTTAAGGCCTTACCCTTCAGCGATATCTCCTTCAGCACCATCAACTTCTGGCAGTTGCTTTTTCTCCCTTTTCTTCTTTCATTTTTTTCACTAAAAAGCAAAGATAAGATGCAAGAATAATAATTGCAGAGGACGATGATCAGAAACTAATACATACTTTAGACAACAGGTACAAACAAATTCACATGCCATTTTCACCCGAAATTATACAGTATATCGTAATTAAGATCAAAAGAAATTATCAAACTGAGCATAGGTGTTAAGTCTAAAAGACGATTAAGCCACATAAAATAAAATTCCTACATACTTAATAGACAAGAAGTACGGCATATACTAACAACTTAGCTTCATTATTCTTATAAAAAAAAATATATATAAAAAAAAAAAACTTTCCAAAGAAGCTTACAAAAAACAAATTGGTTTCAGTAATCTAGCTATGGTGCCAAAGGATTACAAATGAGTGGGTTGTTGCATTTAGACTAAAGAAAAATAAACCAAAAAAATAAAAAGTGAGGCCATTTGTCAGGTATATGCCTTAGCTTTAATAATATCTTTGTGTTCTTATGCTCATGTGCTTCTCTGTTGTTTCAAATTCAAAACTACACATCTAATAGTGGGTATAGAACGGAATTGTTAGAATATAATGTGTTAAACAAAATTCAATTAAATATCTAGTTCAAGAGATGAACACAATTAGTAACATCACTAAACATTGTTAGAATGTAAACAAAAACAAGAAAGCAAGAATAAGGAAAGACATTACCTCTCCTTTACATTCCTATCAGCTGGCTGGACTTCTTTTACCGGCAACACATAATCAAGCTTTCTTCTTACAGAACTTCTAATGCAAATAAAGGTGGTGAAAAACGTGATAAAGCAATAAAAGACGAGAGACTAAGAATCATAACTACATCAATTTTTGTTACCACAATTTTCCAAGGCACATATCATTCACATTGAACCAATATACTTTTCAAGTTTACGCCTTTTTATCATATTTATGGAACAAATTCAAATTTATGGTCCAAATATGACATCAACAGTCAATATATAACTCAATATATTAAAATAGAAATATATTCCATTTAGATTTAAATTATAATATAGATGAATAGAAATGTGAATTATATTAAGACATGAATATAATTCACATTGACTGATATTAAAATAGAAAAGCATAGAGATGAAACTCACATTATAAAAAACTCGGGAAACCCAACTTAGAAAGGCATTAAAATAGACATGAATATATTTTCCATTTTAATACATAAATTCAAATCTAGATAAATAAATGGAATTAAAGTAACATGAATAAAATAGATTTCATGAACAGTCAATATGCAATTTCGTGTCTGGTGTATTAACATAGACATTAGCCTTCATTAGTAAATTCATGATCAATCATTAATGTCTGAACAATCATTTATCTCACATGAATATAACGTCATTTCTATTTTAATATATCTAAATTAATATAATTATTGCCATTTCTATATAATATATTAAAATAGACATTACCCTTCATTTGATGAATACTATGCCACTAGAAAAAATGAGACAACCAAGTAATAAGAATTAAGCTACCAAAATGATAGTCTTAAAAGTATAGTAAAACAAATTTCATTGATGGTTAAAACATGAATATAACTAATACTATGCTAATTCAAAAAATCAACTTTGGGATGAAGATATGAATTGAAACAAGGCCTTACCTTTCATTGTTTTCGCATTCAATTTCATTAGTGATTGGCAGCAGCTTGTTTGATTTTCTCCGTTTTCTTTTTTTAGAACTAGAATTCAACCGGAGAAAGAAAAATAAAAAAATTATATATATATATAATAATAATAATAATAATAATAATTAAAAAAAAAATGAGAGAATCAAATTAAAGTATACATGTATAAATTAATAAGGTGAAATATGTTAAAAAGGTTGTACCCTTCATGATTGTCTCCATGATCAATTTCAGGAGCAATAGGCAGACACTTGTTCTCCCCCTTTTTTGTTCTTTCTTTCTCACTGAAAAATCACAAGGATACTAATTAAGGGTACCATCATTAGCAACACTGAAAAGATTAAGATAATAAGCACATATATTCCCACACCATTAACAATCCAACAATCTTTGTCTCGCCTGAAGAATATGTATTAGATAGGACCAAAATGAACTATTAGCATATTGAGCATAGGTAAAGAAAATGATTGAGGCTTACTAGATAGAATTTTTATAGTAATAGACACAAGCATCAAAACATTTACTCAAAATCCATCTTCATTATAACCAAAAAAGAAAAGGAAAAAAAAAACAGTTATATGCAACATTGTAACCTGAACACCCGCTTTGGATGGAATATGAACAAACTAACATAAATGGTTTAACTTTTACATGTTAGATTGTTAGAAGTCAAGACAACAATTCTAATCAGGAAATTTTATTAAAAACAAAAGAAGAAACTTTGTCCTAGAAGAATTATTTTACTCTTCCATTTTGCAACTTAAAAGTAGCAACTCTAGGGATATGTTTCAGCAAGAAGATAAAATATTGTAGGTAAAACTTACCCTTGTTGTTTCTCTTCTAGCACAACATCTTGATTCCCTAGCTTATTTTCAATTGCATCAATAATAGTAGCAGTTTGAGCTTCTAGTTTCTCTTCAAGACTAACCGGTATTTGCTTAAATGATTCAATTAAACCCGGGAGCAGAAATTTGAATCTTACACTTGTACCACCTTTTTCCTTGACCGCTTCACCCACAAAATCAGCAATACCTAAAATAGATTGCATTAGTTTAGTTTAAATAGCTGACTTCAATTCACATCCACTGGACACAAACAAGAATGAATCAAATAATTTCAGCAAAATTTTCCTAATGCTATCAGGTTAAGGTTACTATGACAGTGCTATAATAACAAAGATATAATTAATAAAACAAAACATAGTACTAACATTGTTTGTAATATAATCTTTAATTTACAGTTATTAGCTAAATAAATAGAATATTATATGATCAACCTATGCAGCAACCTTACTACAAAGCATTAAATTTTACAGAATTTATCTCTTAAACCATGCCTAAATGGAGTTGGTGAGAACTTTACAACTAACATTATCACATAACAAATTAAAAGTAAAACAACTAGTAGTGGAATTTTACCATGACCATGAGTCTTGATACTTCTGCCTCCTCCTCCTCCATTATCCATGCTACAAAAAAAATAGTAAATCAACCAATTGAGATGTTGTTCATAATATATACAGTATCACTTAAAAGAATAGACAAAGAAAGAGAAACATGCATTGGAGGGGCAACAAAATTAGTTGGTGAAGTGATACGGTTATAGAAATGTCCAACTAGATGAACTCCCCTTCGACCTCTAAGGGAGAAGACCATGTCACAAGGTCCGGAAAATTCCAATCCCAAGGTCGCCATAATAGTGCGCTTTACTCCCAAGGAGCAAATTAAAATTTTATTTTTACCGTCACATTTTACGGAGACCAAGGTTCGATTTTTGTTGTACATATTTTCCGAATTCGAACATTCTGCCGTAGCCTACAAATTTTTTGAGGAAAAACAGATTTTAAACTATGGTGCAATAATCTACAAAGAAAGAAGCAAGAAAAAAAAAAAAAAAAAAAAAAAAAAAAAAAAGTAACGAAAACCTGAGAAATGTGAAGACAATTGAACGAGTTATTCGGCAACCTCACGGTGACAGGTTTTTTCGGCAAAACCTTGATCCCTACATCAATGGAAATTACAAATTTTTATTTAATATTTTTATTTAACAAAACCAATCAAAAAATCAAAAGGAAAAACAAGCTTAGCTTACCCCAGAAAGTCCTCTCCGAAGAAGATTGTTGAGCGTCTGACAATTGTTCGATGATCATATTTGGAAATTATTAGAATTGAGATTGAGAAAAGAAGATGAAACGTTAAGTTTTTGTTTTGTTTTTAGAAGGTAAATACTGTACTGTAGAAAATGAGGAAAGAGGTGAGTGGGAATAGGAAAGGATTGCGCGTTTTCCAAAGTTCCTCTGATTACACCACACCATCGTCCTCATTTTAGAGTATGAGTACTCCTTTTTTAACTTTCTGTCTTTTCAATTTCTCCTCTAAGAATAAGAAGTGCGCAAAAAAGAAAGGCCAAGTATTGACGTATAGAAAATAACAGTCCCTGTACAGCTATAAGATAAAAGAATGGTAAATTTTCTAGTAGTATAAATATGAGATTTGTTAAACATCGCCCGCAAATTATCATATAAAGTCTACAAATATGACTTGGTGTGACTTTATTGCCCTTTTCCTTTTAAAAAAAAACACTCTCTACTTCTCTCTAAAAAAAAATCAGAAAATCTACCTCTCTTAAAAAAATTAATTACGACAATGTCGAGGCGGCAAGGGAAAGAGGTGGCGGCGGCGACGGCGGAGGAAAGGCGGCGACCTGGTGGCAAGGTAATTATTTAATTATTTTTTTAAAAAAAAACAAAAAGACGGTGGCGTGTGGTGGGCGTCAGGTCCGACAGCCACAACCGGTGGGGTGGCGACTGGCTTGGAAGCCCAGCCACCGGAGCAGGCGTCCAAACCAGAAGCCAGCCCGTTGGCTGTGGCGTCCAGATCTGGCGCCTGTGCCAATGGGTGGGCGTCCAGTTCAGGCGCCTGCCCACTGGCTACGGCTGCCGGAGCTGGCGCCACCGCCAGTGGGTGGGCGTCCTGGCCCTTTTTGTTTTTTTTTTTGTTTTTTTGTTTTTTTTGTTTTTGTTTTTTCTGATTTTTTTTTGTTTTTTTTTGTTTTTGTTTTTTTTTTTTATTTTGTAAAATCAGAAATTTAGTTTTATTTAAAATAATTTAGTTTTATGTCTAATTTTTTTTTGTTAATGTGTTTTATTTTTTTTAAATATTTATCAACTTTATGTTTTTTTTTATAAATCGTGTATATTTTATTTTTATAAAATCAGTTTTTTTTTTTTTGTGTTTATGTTTTATTTTTTTTATGTTTGATGTTTAAACATTTTTTATGCCTTAATTGATGTAGTATGTGGAAATTGTTTGTGTTAATGTGTAATTGTTTTTTTTTAATTTAAAATGTGTAATACATTAGGGTATTATGTGTGTATTTGTGTATGTGTAATATATTTGTTTTTTATTTTTTATGTTTAATTATTTGAAATAATTTTTATTTTTTTTGGAAATCATAAATTTTGTAATATATTAGGGTATTATGTGTGTATTTGTGTATGCCGTATAATATTTTTCTATGTTTAATTAGTTGAAATAATTTGAAATTTTTGTTTTGTGTCCTATTTAGTTATCATGTCTTTGATTTTTTATAATCTTTATTAATTTTATGTTTATAAACATGACGATATGTTGGAAGTGTTGGTATTTTGTATCTGTAGGTAGTTATTTATTTTTCTAAAAAACTTTTGTATGTTTATATATTTTTAAATTTTTTGTAGAATTCACTGGGTCGTCATGGTGCGGGGAAGAATGTAGAGCTTCTTAGTAGAAGCTATTCAGTGGAGAGGTCGGGGCATAGACATGTTAGATCCCGTGGTATTTCGGCCTCGGCTCGTAGAGAACGGATCCACCGTCGGGATGAGGATGACGATGATGATGCTGAGGAGGGTGACCAGGAGGAGGAGCAGGAGGAGGGCGCATATGAGGATGAGGATGTGGACGATGGGAGTGGACCGTATGATGATTACGGTCCATTCAGTCAGAGGGTTGATGACATGTACGAGACACATATGGTGGAGGTGCGTAAGGGTAGGGGTGGTAGGTTTGTTAGTAGATCTGGCACATCATCTGCGTCCACTGTATCTGGGGCAAGCAAGAAACGGTCGAGGGCCGTTAATGATTCTTGGGTTGTTAGGAGTGAGGTGCCCGGTGGGCCTGTTGACGGGAGTGTGATTCCTAGCTTTCTAATACACATAGCTGCCCGTATTTGGGAGGACCAGGAGAGGCCTTCAGTTACGGGGTTGTTGAAATGTCATACCCGGGAAAAGACTGGTAGCTTTTTGCGTACATGGGCTGAGGCTTGGCCGGCGGAGAGCGAGATGTTCGAGCGACTGGAGGGCACTGGGGTGAATCACGTTCCTGCCACCATGCACGATAAGATTGACAATACGCTTATCACGACTTTCGTTGAGCGATGGCAGCCGGATACAAACTCTTTCCACCTTCCGTTCGGGGAGATGACGATCATGTTACATGACGTCGAGGCCATTCTGGGGATTCGTGTTGAGGGTAAACGACTTTGTGCTGTGGCTGATGCGGATCAGGCAGATTTGCTGGCGGAGTTGTTGGCGGTGGACAGGGCTGCACTGTACACCGAGGCGCTTGGTGTTTGGGAACACGGTGGTGTGAATATTGCATCCGTGTTGCAGAGGTGTTTGTAACCCAATGCACGTAGGACGCACGACGCACAGCTGGCTGCTTATGTTTTTCTACTCCTCGGATGTACCTTGTTTCCGGACAAGAGCGGCGGAAACAAGCTCAGGCCACGCGACATAGTAGAGGCGTGTGACCCCGACAGTGTAGGCCAGTTTTCTTGGGGATCGGCTACGTTGGCGTATTTGTATCGCCAACTAGGATTTGCGAGTCGGGCTGACGCGGCAGGTATCACTGGGTGTCTGACTTTATTGCAGACCTGGATATACGAGTACTTTCCTGCATTGCAACCACATCGTGACCCGGTTCCTATTGTTGAGGGGATGCCGCGTGCTTGTGCGTGGAGTTCGCGCTCGGAGAAGAAGTTCGTTGACCGCCTCCGATCGATACGGTTATTGCTGGACAGGCTGTCCCCCTTAGAGGTAACGTTTATAAATTGTTTCTACATTTTATTATATGCACATATTATATTCATGTTATTAAATTTTAAAACTATGTGCAGGTGAACTGGATGCCTTTCGGCCCGAACCCTAGTGTTAGGGTACCCAGGACCCTGTACACGGGTGTCATTCAGTATCGTGAGATCGTCGAGGCGTACATGCCCCAGCGTTGTCTTCGCCAGCTTGGATTTGTCCAAGTTGTCCCTCCTCCCCCGGCATGCCCGATGAAGGCGGTTTGACCTGCATCGTCGAGGGACTACGTCGTGCAATGGCCGGATATCATGACTGGGACGTGGGACCAGTTTCCGATGGTGGCCCGCTTATGGACTGCGGAGTTGCGGCGGCCGCCCTCTGGGGTTCCTCCTATGTGTGACCACTACTACATGGAATGGTTCAACCGGTATTCGCACCCGAGGTTGATCGCAGATCTCGACCACAGCGATGATGATTATGTGCCACTGCCTACTGCCATGGAAGCGATATGTCTCATATTATATTTATCGTTGTTTTTTAATTAAGTTTTATATGTTGTTATTGTATTTCATCTTTTACTTTTTGTTGTATGCAGTGGATGGAAAAGATAATGAAGGACGTACAGAAACTCTCTCTGGAGAAGGACAGCATCAGTGCAACAGTGAGAGCTGCTGTTGATAGTCTGGAACAGACCCTTGCGCATTGGGAGTCGGCGTCGAGGAGGGATTACTGATGGTTTTGTCATTTTATTTATAGAGCACTTTAAATATTATCGTTTTAATTTATTAAATTGGACATTATGTTGTAAGTTTGTAACATTTTAGATTGTTCTTTTAGCTTTCAACTTAGACATATTATCATTGCTGTTTTTAAATTTTGACATAACCATTCGTGGATCCGCGCAACTTACCCATGCAACATATAGAATGCAGTAAGCAATACAATATAAAAAATTAATGTTCTCATTAAAAGAGCAACGTACAAATAAGATTACATAGGAAGAATGTAAACATGAAAAACTAAAATGCAGCTAGGGTGTTCCATTCGTGGATCCGGTCATGATATAGCGCATCCCAACCCTCTACGCTCGCTGTGCGAATGGTGTACCACCGAGGTATAATCGGTGGCACTGGAAAATCGGATGACATGTCCAGTCGGATGAAATGTCTGTATGACGACCCAAGAAACGCAATAGCTACCTCTCTGACCAGTGTGGTGACAGTCTCACGCGAACGCCAAGGGAGAACCGTGGTACAAGGATAATAAGCTTGACTATGCAATCCCAGGCCGAAATGCATGACTACGCACTTGTAAATGTTTGCAACGGCAAACAGATCTAGGGGCGCGTCAAAATAATGATTTTGGCCGCAAGGTCCACCTCCCCATCGGATACGCCGCAGAGCGCCATCCAAGTCATCTTGGTACACATGACGATAAACATTTCGGTTAGAGGCAATTTCGTTGTACATCAACTGACGCACCAAACCGTAGTTGTCTTCGCCCATTTCAAAAACATCAGCCACGACCCGGAATCCGCAGTTACCATCTCCGACTACATCATTCCACCCTTCCAAGTACGGCATGATGATCGCAAGTATCCTGTCCTTGTACGAAAACTGATCAACATCGTTTCTTCCTATTCAATGTGCAATGTAAAAAAACAAAACGTACCAGTTCTCAGGGGCATATTCACAGACGATGAAGATTGACTACGACTAGATGACGATGTCCGACCATGAGCACGACCACGACCAAGACCACGGATATACTCAAACGCACTCCTGTTCCGCCGTTGCCGACCTCGAGGACGGTCAACTCCTTCGGGTTCCTCATAATCTAAGGTAGACGTGTGGAACATGTCATGAAGTACATGAGTAGCGTCACGAATAATAGAAGGATGGCTGGAGGACACTCGGTCGTACATCGAACGAAACTGCTCCAACTCCTCCTGTTCACGGTCGGCCGTTTGAGTATTTGCATGCTCACCAATAACGAGCGTCCGCCAGAATGAATGGACCTTATCAACATGTAACAACGCCCTTTCTTCTGTAATAACGCGGTGAATGGTGCATGCGCAAGGTAATCCATGAGTTACTGAAATAGCACACCCACACCGAGCATACACTTCGTCAGCCAAGTCCCTCATCCTGTTCAGCTCAGTGAGAATCAACCCCAAGCAGTAGTGCGACACACGACCATGGAGAATCTTAAATATGAAATGGCTATACATCGTACCATGTCGTCGTCTGGAGTCCTCTAGAGAGTTCCTAGCCGTTCTTCTGAGTTTCAATTGACTTGTTAAGTCTATCGAACAGTGTATCCAAAGCAGCGGTCGATGAATCAATCCAGTCCTTGGTAGCTCTATGAGCGCTCTCAACTCTACATGTTGTAGTGTTCCCGAAATGAAGTACCTGGTTTGTCCAATATTTGACAAACTTTTCCCTATGAGGGACCCATTGTTGCATCACATAATCCACCAGTGTC